ATATCGTCAGACCCACCCTGTGTACGTGTAAGTTTAAGGAGAGAACGCAGCACCAAAATAAGGTTATCGTCAATTCTGCTTGTGGATAATGTCTCCTTTGAGCCTTCCATGATAGGTTTAGGAAGGTGGAAAGTTTAAAGAAGCGGCCTTCAGCTTTTTCATATAGACTGTATAACGCCTGTTACACAGGGATGATATCTAGAAGACTAGGGGAGCCCGTATCTCCAGTAGCGGTCGTCCACGAAACGCTGCTTTCGGGATGAATCAAAGATGGTTTAATGTGGAATGAAAAGTATGTAGTCCTTCAAGTTCTCAACAGTGTTCTTTAGCATGTAGAATGGTCGAACGAAAACATCACTAATCAAGCAGATGTCAGTTGGGAGTCCAGTTTCCTGGAAGCCAAAGTTTTCTTTAAATGGGCCATGGCCTCCACCATGATTGTACAATGCCTAAAATCGACCTTACACGTTGTTCAGCTGATCTCTTTTATTCCACTAGCACGAGATACTTCAATTACGCTGCCTTCAAAAGTGTACAGCTTCTCAATTGTTCTTTCGCATCGGCCGCAGAACGATAAATATGAAGAAAGCACTTTAATGAGGAAACTAACGCATGCAGAATTCTGTCGGCGTATAAAAGGTGCCAACGTGCGGCTTTGTTTTGGGGAAGGGGATGGGAGATAGAATGGCCGTAGGAAGACTAGGGCCGAAGAAGGGAGAAAAAATGAAAAAAATTATGATTGTGAAATCTGCATGTCTGCACGTGATCATGATGATATACGTAACTAACACATGCTTGTAGACTAGTTGGTTTGCATGAATGAATTGTAAACGCTAACAGACAAGCACGTAGGAAAGAACTGACACGGACAAAGCGCGAGTTTAAGGCACCTGGTAACATGACAAGGGGGAATCTGGAGGCGTACGGGATAAGATTAGAAAACATGTGCATCAGCCACCCTTCTACATGACTGTTTTAAAGAGAGTTTTCTTGCCTCTATTTGCCGCTGTAAAATGAATGTTTTGCCTAGTCGTGATACTGCTTTCTCCGCGTGCTTGGTTCAATGGTGTGAATCCACAGGTAGTTCTTTTCGTTTCTGTTATTTCCTCTGGCTTGGTATGTATTTATCGGTTCGTGCTTAGATATAAGATCAGTTGAAAGTAGCGCTCTCTCAGTGTGAGTTGTCTTAGACGTTCTTGTCTGTTCGCGTTTACTCTCGATTTATGTACTGTTTATCAATTAGGTTATTGTCCTCTAGGAATTCGAAGAGAAATTTTGAAATGGAACGTTGTTGAGAAGGAGCAGTAGATCCGACGCTGTGCTCAGATTTGGGTGCACGTTAAAAAACTCCAGGTGGTCGAAATTTCCGGAGCCCTCCACTATACGGCATCTCTCATAATCATATGGTGGTTTCGGGACGTTAAACCCCCCATATCAATCAATCAATCAAGGAGTAGATTCGAGTACTTTACCGGTATCTAGCAGTTCACGGGAAGCCGAGTAAATTCTACTTCGTAAACAAGACGTCTTTTCTGCATCCATAAAATGCATTCGTCTGCTTCACATAATTTCACGTGACCCACTTGACTGGCCAGTAATGTAGGCTCCCCTGTTGGACATGCATGGACGTGTGGTGTACTGGTTATGGCACGTGATTTGCGACCGGGGAAACCCATATTTACATCCCAGCCAGGGAAATAGGCGTTTTTTTACTTTTTCAGTACACACCAACTGTGAGTGAGAGGGCTTCCAGGGTAATCGTGTCGCAATTTTTATTCGCGGTGTTGTTTTTTTGGAACACCAGCATCTTGTAAGCCTTCGCTTGAAAGATATGTTGTGCTGCTTGTGTCTTAGCGCGCCAACATGCATTTGATGTAGACGTTATTCTTGTACTTAATTGTGGAATAAAGTGTACAATAGAGACAAATGCGATTGGTTTTCTGCACTGAAGTTTGGACTTGGCTTTTGTGCACATCATGTGCCTATTATTTGAAACGTTGTTGTAATGGCCTTTTGTTGTAATAATTTATTTTACTGTGTGCCTTCCATGGGTAGAATATTGTTGTCGCATTACGATCCCTAACCACTAGACTAAACTATATATACAGAAACCTACCCAGGAGTTTAAAACTGTAAAGTATGTTGCATAATTCCTTCACTCACTCCTTTACACGTAAAGTCACCGAATTATGGCAAGTAGTTCTGCTACTTCAGTAAGAATGAATGTCTGCCTGAATAGAGAATACAAGTGCAATAGAAACTAACTGCTGTAAATTCTCAGTGTGAATTCAGATAAAAAACGGCACATAGACGCTTCTTTATTTGCGATGTAGAAGCACGCAAGTGTGCCAAGCTTCACAGGCTTGCATGAACAAAATTGTAGAAAATACGTCTTTTTGAAGCACGTAAAGCGTTTGAAAGTGCTTGCTTGCACGCGGGGCATTCTTAAATGATTTATCTTGCGCCCCATGCGTCATGCCCTTGGTCGTGGGCGAGAGTCCCCGAGAACAAGCAGCACAAGTGCATATCAGCGTGGCAAACATTCGATGATGAACAGGCACATTGTTTGATGCCCCAAATATTAGAAAACTGAGTGAGATTGCGCTACTTTTTTGTTGTTGTCATTGCTGTTGAGACAGTGATGACTGTGTGTGTAGATTTTAAAGGTGAGGCACTTTAGGGGGTTTGTATGTCATATCGTCGTCATGTTGCATCATAAACGGCTGTAAGGCTCGCTTGTGATGGGGTAAATCCCGCTACTTGCCACCAATTCCTACGGTGCATATTATTAGTGTCGTTGCTAGTGCATAAATCATTATAAAACATTATGTTTTACGTAGCAGTGGTGTCAGAACCCCAGACACACATCTATTAAGGTGCTCAAGTTTGTTATCTAAAAACAGACACACAAACGTGCATCTCTACAGTAAAGTCATCCCTATGAAACACCACTTCTTGAAACATATCTGCGAAGGGACAATGTGTTAGTGGACCGGTAGTGAGTAAGGCTGTAATGGGTAAATGTTTCGCTACGGAAACACAGGCACACACTACGTGTCTCGCCCTTCTCCAGGTGTAACGTTAGTAGATCGGAAACACCCTTCCTTTCTCGTGGTGTAGTGCTTCCTCCTATTTTCTTTTGTTTAGGTTGTAATCAAAAAAGTATGGTTATGACTACGCAGGCGCAGGGATCAACAATAGCACATTGTCAAAATTACGCATCGCCAGCATTCGTGAGACGTGTGCCTGTTTCACTTACACGTGTATGAGTAGGTGAGTGGCTTAGTGGGTGACGTCATGCTGGAAGCCGGACTGCCCACCCACCCATAGGTAATTGCGACTCGAATGAAAATGCTCATACTAGGTATAGTCAGCATAAGTCTAAGATGTCAGCACTTATTTGATTTGCATCAGCCCACATTGTTCTGCACGGTAGTCGGTAATAAGTTTTTACACACTTCCTGCAGCAATTCTCTCGTGGATGGTCAACAAAATCAGGGACTACAGATGCGTACAGTCGAATAGCTTTCCTAATTAGTATAACCTAAGCGAAATATTTCTCACCAGATTTAGAGAAGCCTGTGCATAGTTTCCAGACATACCAACAATGAGCCACGTAGCATGGAAGTGAACCAAGAGGTCCACACACACGGACAGCCTACGCATTGCTAAGTAACCGCACATGTTGCACAGGCAGTCGGATGCATGGCTTGCAGAATTGTACATGTAGCTTTGCGTGAACAGGCCCAGTGAGCAGTTCAGGCCAGCGGATCACTGGACTGAGGGCCTGACTACGCCTGTCTAAATTTATTATTTTGGTATACTTTGGCTGAATAAAGCTTTCTGCGCCTCCTTCTCCCCTCTCGTGGACAATTTTGACACGGTGAAACAAGCTATATTTTAAATGTATTGGGTAATTGCTGTGACGTTGTCCGGACCCCCATATTGTTGTACTGGCTGACAGCACCGGGAAATGCTGGAATGCTTTATCTCAGTTGGTTCATCTCCCGAAGCTGTTCATCGCAAGACAGAATGGCGTACGGTGTCGTCACCGAAACACTGCTTATTTCATGAGTTACAGCTCGGCCAAACAACATTTGGTAATGTGACACCTGACCGAAACGTTGCGTAATAAAGTGATGTGTGGCATTGAGCTAGTTGGTATTTCATTAGTAAACTGCTTTGCGAAATTGTTCTGAATGTGGGTGCCAGCCATTGTTTGAAAAGGCAACTGTTCTCACGTCCCAGCATAACGAAGGCACTAAAATCACAATTAAAGGGCAACAATCGCTGGAGACAGCTGCATCAGCAGACCATCCACAGCCTTACCAGAAAAAAAAAAATGGTGTGTTTGAATTCTTCAGCACGTAGTGTCCCAGATCGATCACTTGGTTCCTTGCAGCCTCTTGTTTTTGTTTGGCTTATCATCTTGGATAAGCATGTGATCATATCTGTTTCGGAGCCTATGTATGTGCGGCTTAGTAATAATAAGTCAGTTGAGAGTCTGCGCTGGTCTTCGTGTTTTCTGTGTGCGTTGTCTAAATCTTTTTTTTTGGGGGGGGGGGGGGGAGGGGCTGAGTAGCATGACACTGAGTAAACACATAAAGCGAAGGGCGTGCTCCATAAACGCTCCGTTGAAGCTATTCCGAGATGACATCAATTGTCGGTTTCATATGCTGCCGCTACAAACCTTACGCGTCATTGTACACGCTGTAAAGTGTCTCATGACGTCACTGAGGAGAACAGAATTTGCCTAAAATGCCCCACGAAATGCGTGGCTTCTGGAGTTCAATAAGCATGTGCACTGCCCCTCGTATATTCAGTGGCCAGCGGCGCTGGTGCCACTCCTGAGCGACGGTACGTTCCCACGAAAGTTAAGCAAGAAAGGGATTGAACGTGTTCCAAGTTGTTTAGATATAAATGGGAGTGATAGCGATAGGAGTAAAAACTAAAAGGCATCAGTTCAACTTCTTGAATCATGTCTGAACTCTCAATTACAGGATGATGTTGAAGCTGGTGACACCAAAGGCACAAAGCGGTGTTGCTGCTCGTGAGACGGCGAAGGTGCGTATTGAACATTAAAAGTAAAATAAGGTATGAATTGATTTGTTATCTTGTGTAAAAGACCATGAAAGCCCATGGTCGACAATTTACAGGGCTGAGGGTTAAGGGGGTGCCATGATTTATCGAAGCAAGAGGAAAGCACTGCTAAGTGTATGCCGTGCAGGAGCTGATTAGTTGATAAGCCATACGGGGCTTTTGCACAGTCAAGATCTGTTTATTGTCAATATGCAAATGATTACGTCATGTTCTAACCTTGATTTTTGTGACGAAGCGAAGTGCGACACCCGTATTTCTAACTGCTATGTTGCTTAAAATTAGCTATCTTGCAGAAGTGTGCGCATATTAGAAAATTCGAACGTCGAATCAAATAGCTTTATAGCCGGTTCACAACTCGAAATTATTCGCACATCTTCAAAACACAGATTATATTTTCGAATACTTTTCGAAGGATAAAGTCACCGCTGATGCGAGAATCTCAAGGAAACAACACGCGGAAAGCGAAGAACCTTTTTTTGTTGCTTTAATTGGTGAACTACCAAAATGCACGTAGGTCAAGCTTTTACGGAAACTTCAAAACCCTATAGCTTACTCATCACCGTACGAAGGAATTCTTTATTTAAAATCTAGGGTCATTGAAAGCAATAGTCCTCAATCCACTATTATTATTATGAGCTTCATGATGCTAATGTTATTTTATTTCAGAACTTCGGGTTACCTCCATGCTGGCGACATAGCTGCACCTCGAGTACTGAACTAATATGTGCATTCACCTTAAAGTTAAAGAATATTTCGAAGGCTCTAGGTACTTCTGTACACGAGCTTACATCATTTTACACAATTGTGGTATCTTTCGTTGGTTAAATATAACGATACTGCTGCTTTGTTACAGTCTGTGAGTATTTGTTTGAAATATTATGTAGAATTCTAGGCCAGTCTTCAACATTGTTTTACTAATTGAGAACTATTTTAGTAGTATTCGACACATAGTTGTAATATATTCGGTCCAAAGGTTCACCATTCAAGCATCCCTACACTTCAATAAGAATACCTTGCGATAAAATTTCATCGATCTACTTAATGTTGTATCTACGAAGACAACAACCCCTGCAATTCAGACTTCTTTTCTACACTTCAAAGGGTGACGTGAATTTGAATTCCAGGTTTCAAACATCGCGCGGTTTCGGACTCGTCTTTGAAGTAGCAATTTTATGATACAAACACTGATCACCAGTTACGCCGCACTTCTCCGACGTCACCCCGGATTACATCACAGCGATAAAAAGCAGATGAAAGGTGACTCATCGCTACAGTTTTCTACATCGTTCGCCTTTGCCGTGGCTGACACCGTCGCGTACGCATTTTCAACCGCTTCTGTCAGCGAGCAGCAAGACACCGCTCGATGCAAGACCTTTGATGGTTTACGGCTGCCTGATGTGCGTCACACATCACTAATGGCAGAATTTTCCGAGGCATATAACGTGCCGCAATTTTTTTATGTGCTGCAGCGCATATATACAAATAAAAAAGTAATCCGGATCAAAACGTAAAAAGGTTGCGAGCTTAGTCTTAATCTGTAAAGCAAAGCTGATTCTCATTCAATCAATTGTTTCGCAGGACTCATGACGTTCGCCCCAAGAAGCCTGTGTGTTGAACTCTCACGCAGAGAGTGAAGCCTGTAAATTTTACGTTGTCTTTCTTGCTGTAGTAAGAATGCGCAGCTTTTCTCCATTTGTTTCTTTAGTCACAATTTCTTACCTTTAGGCATAATGCTACTGATGAACTGTTGTACATATTGTATCCATTCATTGTCTGCAAGCTTCATTATTACTGTCCGTGACATCTAATTATCAGGCAGAAAGGTGTGAAATCATGATTACATGTGAGCTAGAAGCCTACACGCAAACACTTAAGGTTTCCCTTGTATCATTAGATGGCGCCAATGTCATGGTTGAGATACACTAAGGTGCTTTTGCCATTCATTGGTGTAACAGTGACCCCGATGTTGAAGCTTGTGTTGTTCGTCGCAGTCGGCTGTAGTGCGTGTCATCCACCAGCTGCGGCTGGTGTGCAACCAGCTGGCGACACGCATGGTTCGCGAAGGCAGGCTCCCTTCACCGGAATTGCTGTTCTTCCTCACTTACGAGGAGATAGGCATCTTGCTCCGAACCAGGAATCCAGAGCTCGTCCTCAAGTGAGTGAGCTGTTGCTACAGCAAATTGTTAACCTGTTGTCGCCGTCAAACGAGCCCAGCTAGCTGTCTCTGTTTTGTCTTATTTCTGTTTGAAACCGTGCTAAGGCTGAAGTAATTTATGCACGGAATATTCTTATGTAAGTATAGGAACACGTCATGGTGGCTGAGGAAATGACCCTATAGTACGGTCATTTTCTGTAGTGAGCAGTAGTAATTGTGTGGGTGGTGTGTTAAAGCTTGTGTGTATTTTCATCTCTGGGTATTAGTTCTGGCTACACTCCTGCTTTTTGCTTTTTTGCGTCCTTCTTTGTCGCCACAGTTGCTTGTTCTTGTAACCCATTCGAGAGCTTCTTCTTTTTTTATTCAGTAGAGGTGAACAACAAAAAACAACTCACAGAAATAGAGAGTGAGGGAAATAAATCCTATTTAGGTACCAAACAACGATGTTCTTCGCCACATAGGTGGTCTTTTCAGCTCGGCAAATCGCACTCCCTCACCATCTATCGTGGTATATGCATTAGTTGAAGCTGGTAGTGAGGGCACGACGCTAATGACTAGAGGAGCTTGAAGTCCATTAGCTTCGATATGGCCACGAAAAGCAACGTGTCAGAAGGCGTGGGAAATTTTGTTCAGTTGGGGTTCGCTTGCGTGCACCTAAGCCTAACTGCACGGGTCTTCAGCATTTCGCCTCCACCGAAATGCGGCCCTCACGGCCGAGGTTCAATCCCGTCACCTCCTGGTCACCATTCAAGTACTATAACTATCACATGACCATGGTTCGTTAGTCAGGGCTCGACTAACCTGCACTGCTAAAGAACAGACGTTAAAAAAGGAGAAGAAGAAACAGGCTTTATATTGCTGAATAGGCTAATACTTTGATCTTGACGGTCTCAGGTGGTGGTTCGGAGTCTCTGGACTTGGGCACGGCCCTCGACTGGCGAGATAGTCCAGATCTGGACGTTCACTTCTATTTTTCATTAAAGAACAACAACAATAAATAGGTAAATAAATAAATAAATAAATAAATAAATAGAAAAGCCTGCAGTGCCTCTGATACTCGGCGTCCTCAGCCCTACCTGCCTATCTACCTTCATACCCTATTTTCCTGCCTCGGTGATCTAGACTGAAAGAAGCACCGAGAAATTATTTTACTTTAGGTTTGACTATACTTCTCTTTTAGGGGCGAAACTTCTTATAGCGGTCCCCATTCGTCCTTCGTAGCCGTTGTAGTAGTGTGTAACAAGTATAACATTTTGACCTCCAAGGTGGTGCCAGTGAGAAATTTCTACTGTGCGTTGTTGAACAATAAAAGATAGTGCTCAATGTACATGCCAATGGCTGCTAAGGGGAATGAGAGACAGGAGATTTCGGCTTTTAGTTAACGTGCACGCTGCGAATTTTTTATTGTTCAACAACGCACAGAAGACAAGAAAGGGTTGCTACGTTATACTCGCTGGGCGTAGCCCCCTAGATTTTAGAAAGGTTTAGCGAGCATTGGGCCGCAGCGCCATGGATACAGTGAACTAGTATATACCATGAACTCAAGGTGGTTAAAGGTGGGAAGTAGACACAAAGCGCAAGCCGTAAGAAAGTGTGCGTGTGCCTCCGCTCGTTGAGTCATTGGAATGTCCGCTGAATGGCGGTGCTTCTATATGAAGAATATACGATGAAAGGATGCGAGATGGTGGCACTTGGAGTGTTGAATAGGTGGACGAACGGACACACAGATGCATGGATGGACGCACGCATGGCTGCACGGACGGATGAACGCATGGACGGACACAGGAGCGGATGCTTCCACGAAAGCAGGGACAGACACACAGATGAACGTGCGGACGCACGAACAGACGTACGCACGGACGGGCGGGTGGACGCACGGGCGGCCACACAGACGCACGCATGGATGGACGGAAACAAGAACGAATGGACGGATGGATGCTTCGCTTCACTATCCATCTTTCACTCCGTGGATATGCTGTCATTTTTTTAGATGTGAAGCATTTCTTAGTGAGCTTCGGTGACTTTCACCGTATCTATCTATTTCTATATCTATCTACCGCTTACGTTTCGGTGCTCTCGTGGTCACCCCCTTGGCGTTTACCAAAATCAGCATGGGAGGGAAAGATGGTTTGACGAATTGGACGCGCTGGTCAGGACATGAACAATGTCACAATCCCGTCACGTACGTCGTCAAACACTTACAGTGGCACTTACCCACGGGCAGGTATGTGCCGCTGCTATGAGGGTGTGTGCCGCAGGTGATGGACACTTAGTATCAATACACAGGAACGACGAGGACACCCAGGGGCAAGTTTAACGCGCGAGCGTTAAGAAACACGCGACATCGGTAGCGTCGACCCGACGAATACAAATAAATGTCAGGGTCCCAGCTGGAATAGAGCCTAAGCATTCTGCGCGGCAATAAAGCATTTTACCACTGAGTCAGGCCTGGTCTTGGAACTACTTTTCAGCTAGACGCAAATCTTCATGAAACGCTAATAGTGGTTGCAGTGATGCAGATCCAATTTCATAAACATTACATATGTACTCCTTTCATACAGCCATCACGTCGGGTTAACGTCAACAGTGCTTAGTTACCATGCGCTGAAGTTGATTTATGTAGCAATGTCCAGGGTCAGCATCCTCGCGAGCATCAGCGCTTCATATCAGCTTCTCGTGTTGCTAATAGGCATGTTATAGTTGACATTGTTGCGCAAGTGCAAACAACTGGTTATATGAACATCTGCAACTCTTCAACATATGTCTGTGCGTGCAACATTTGTACATATATTTAGCGTCATTTCATGACGTGTAGCTCAATGAAAGAGTTGCTACACGGTCACCTTTCCTCCTCATGTCTCGCATAATGTCGATTCCCAGGGACGTGGGATCTGCCGATTTTTTTCCTTGCATTCCATTCACAAATGTTCGGTGGCTAATAGGTTTGCCCAGAAATATCTATTTTTCAGGATAGTCAGCAGCTAGACCTTAAACATAGGATTTTTTCAATAATTGATTGATATATGGGGTTTAACGTCATCAAATCATCACATGAGTATGAGAGACGCTGTAGTGGAGGGCTCCGAAAATCTCGGAACACCTGGGGTTCTTCAAACCTTTCAGACGCCAACTACTAAGAAATGTCTGTGAATCTGTCAAATCACTACAACGTTACTGCAAAGTACTCAATGTTCTATTACAAGAAAAATAAGAAAATATTTGTTTAATCTGTGTGTGTCATAGTAACTCGCTCCATTTAAGTTTCAATAAATACGTCTTTATCCTGAAGTCATTGATGCTTACTTTCGACTTAAATAAAATTTAATTTAAGGCTACAAATATAGTGCAAATTTATTTTTGGCTATGTCAATTGTGAGCAGGAAAAATTTCTGCTTTTCACGTTGATTGCAGGAAGCGGCACATCGCATGACTCGTCAAACTTGATAGTACCTTAAAAAAAGTGACCATATTGTTACGTTTAGTAATGTGTTTATTACGCTGTGGCTTACTGGCAAACTTGAAGGGGTCGTGCACCGGAGGATAATATCGCTAGCCGAACGTCGTCTCCTCTTATCTGCCTGTTCTCCGCTACCCAGAGGCTCATACCCAAATCACATATGAATAACATATCAGATAACATATGCATATCTTGCTCTTTCTTAGCCTCTGCATGATGCAAATTACGAAAGCGAGTGGTGTACACAAATGTGTACATAGGGTCTGAAAGTGTTAACGTGAAACCAAATCTGAGCACACCGGCCTACGGCACTTTCAGCTACATCGAAAATGCAGCCGGGATTCGATCCCATGACCTGCGGGTCAGCATTCAAAATAGAACAATTTTGTGCTCTTGACAACTTGATATGTGGGCAATGCCTAAATTTTTGCAGCCGCTTGTAGTGAATGAATGAAATGAACTTTATTTAGACCAGGCTCTTTGTACTTCATTCCTAAGGTGGGTGGCCTCCTCAGTCCAGGTAGCCATGACTCGCTGCCGCCGCTCGAGCCCAGTGCACCAATCGTAGCTGGTTGTCAGGGTGTTGGGTCACCGGCAAAGCCTCCCACTGGTCTTAGAATGCTTGCTCTTTATCCGTTTCTTTCCCTTCGTTCGCGTTTGCACTTGGCGGTGACGACGGTGGTATATCCGGATTGTTGTGACACTCCGGCACCATGTGGCGCAGAGTGTTGCACGTGTCTGGAGTGCAAAACTTGCAGTACCACCTGAACATTATTGGATACATAGTGCGCGGGTAAGTTCCGGCCTGTAGTCTTCTTGGTGTCACCGCTTATTCCCTACTCAGACTCTTGTGGGCTGGCGGATACCACTTCCTCTGCTTCCTGTAGTGTGCCAAAATGTCTGCATACTTCTTCGGTATGCGCTCATGCTCATAGTGACAGCCGCCGGTACGTGACAGCTGTCGGTACGTGGCTCGGCCTGCATGATCTCGAGCCATGGCGTGCGTCTCCTGGTTCCCCGCGAGAGACTCAAGTCCCGGTGTCGAAAGGATGATTATTTCGTCCACCTTTGTGCTTTTTAAGACATGTAGTGCTGCCTTTCCAATCCTTCCGTTCATTCATCTTCTACACGCCTCTTGCGAATTTATTATCTCGGTAGCCAGCGTATCCTTGCTTGTAGCAATGGCCATGGCTGTGCCCAGCTCTTCCGCTGTACTCTCGTCCTTGGCACCTTTAGATGCTGCTCTCAATTCTTTGCCGCTTTCGTCGACCACGATTATAGCCAAACAGTCATTTGTAAGTTAAGCAGCTGTGTCCGTGTATGTCACATTTTCTTCATTGCTGTTGGTGCGTTGTAGTATCTGCTTGAGCAGTTTTATCCTGGCTTGTCTTCTTTCTTTGTCGTATTCGGGATGCATGTTCCTTGGTATATTGCTTATATGTAAGTAATTTCTGATCTCGTACGGAACATGGTGAGGGACGTGCTTGTCATCCTCGATGCGGTAACCTAAATCTTGGACCAGGGCTCTACCCGTATTCGTCAGCTGCAGTCTCTCCAGCCGGTTGACATGTTGTGCTTCGGTGAGCCTTTCCCATGTGCTGTGCACTCCCATTTTAAGCAACTTTTGCGTGGATGTGTAAGGTGACAGGTTCATGGCTATCTTGTAGACTTTTCTGATAAGAGTGTTAAGTTTCATTCTCCAGTTATTCTTCATATCTACATACGGTGTCCCGTACGTAAATATGCCTGTGACTAACGCATAGATCATTTTCGTGCAGTCTTCTTTATTTAGTCCGTGGCTTTTGCTTGTCACCCTTTTTATCAGGGGACTGATCTGTTGCACGGTTTTCTGAACTTTTTCTAACTCTGCTCCTCCAGCCCCATCCTTTTGAATAAGCAGTCAGAGAAGGGGCAGCGTTGAAACCTGAGGAATTACGATGCCTCCCACCTTCACTTCTGGGTGCCGTGTCTGCGGTGGTTGTCGGCCTCTTAAACGCTTTCTTAGCATTAAGAGTTCAGACTTTTCTAGGGCGCACGTCAGTCCACGGGCTCCTAGAGATCTTTCTGTTTGCTCGACAGCTTCTTGCAGAGCGTCTTGCTGTTGGCCTGTGGTTCCCCCCGCAGTCCAGATGGTGAGGTCGTCAGCATATCTTGCATGGTCAATCCCTGCTATTTGTTGGAGTAGGTTTGATAACGATCTCATGGCCAGATTGAAGATTGTTTTCTTCAGAGCTTAATTGTTCATGCAAGGCATCCTTCTGGAGATCAAACAAAATGTCACAGACAGACTGGCCACGCACACCGAGAGAGCCATCTTTGCACTAGACGTAAGAGGGGCTTTTGACAACCTGTCGCACGAAGCCATACTGCAACACCTTAACATGTATTACTGCTGAGAAAAAGTGGATAAATATGTTAGATCTCTTCTGAAAGAAAGGAAAGCTACAGTGTGAATAGGCGACTTGCGCTCCGAGAAGTCCGAAATACCGGTGAAGGGTGCGCTTTAAGGCTCCATTATTGCTCCAATCCTCTTGTAGTGAATTTTTTTTTACCAGAAGGTGTCGGTAAACTTGTGCAGCGAAGCTGCGATGGTTTAGGTCAAGCCTGAGTACATGGAACGTTTTCAATCATTTTGTCATATGGATTGTGTGATAGGAAAGGTAACAACACCATACTGAGAAGAGCATATAGACGGAGCAGGAGACAATCACAAGCACTTTTTATAGTCCACTCTCCGCAAGACGCCATAGGCTTTAGTCTCAATATGTTGGCTTAAGATTATGTCGGAAAAAATGACAAATTTTCGACTATAAAGACTATGTTCTTTGATTTATGGGTATGTTTTTGCAGCACAAGGGGGCTACCTTTGTGACGAATTCCACGTGCCTAAATGTACTTAAATGGGTCGATATAACACTTCGACTTCCCGTTTCTCACGACAATCTCATGATCATATTCTTGAAATCCTTGCTATTTCTTGAAGAATATGATTCAGGTGACAATATCCGGAATTCTACAGCAGTGATCAAATGTTTTGTATGGAAGCGTTTGTATGTTTTTTTTTCTTTTTCCAGAGCTCAGCGACGCCTGAAAATTCACGCACTGCTTGATAAAGACAGATACCCATCCATATTTGTCGGAATCCCAAAGCCGGTAACCTTTTTTGTTTTTTATCAGTTTAAATGGGCGACATGGGTGTTTCTGGCTTTGGCTCCTAAAAGACCACTAACAGGAATACACGGGACTCCAGTGACGCTGGCATATCAAGATATAAGAGCAAAATTATTGCACTTGAAAGAAACATATAAATATTTTAGTAACGCTCCGGCCATTTCATGCGTTCGTTTTTACAGCAAACGATGAGTTCACGACATGTGAGCTCTCACATTGTTTTAAATATTTTTGCGCGGACGTCCAGCGTGGGATATAATGGTTTCTAATATTGATGAGAAGTGACGAGATCAGCGATACCATGACTAGCATCGGCTTTCCGAACACGGGATCAGACGATAAGGTATGAATAAATCTGCAGGCAAACAGCGCAGCAGAGTGTGCTCACATGCGTGTGCTCTGTATCCTTGCGCATCATATGTGAAATCTTGTTATTTTTGTCGCCTGTGTCAGGCGCTACCAAGTCCAGAGGTCAACGCTCTCATGGAATTATTGAAGAATTGGAAGGATATAAACCCTGAAGGGGGCTAAACAGTATTTTGCAATTAAGGCAGAATAACTTGCACTTAAATTTTGTGCTTTCGTACGAGCGAGATCAATGCCTAAATGATGTTTCGTGGAGGAAAGACGCAGGTATTTGCAAGAGCTAAAGCACCCTAGTAACACACATCGTGTCACATCCTAATAAAGTATTGTGTCGTTTCACAAGTGCATTAATAAGGCCAATTTTTTCCCCTCTGAACAACCTGTTCGCATGTTTGAACGCTCGGAAAATCAGCATTACGCGTGACTTTTTTGTTTGTTTTTCGCAAAACAAGCCCATTCAACCTTACTCTGTTTTGCCATAAGCAATATCCTTGTGGAATGATCTTCCCATCTTGACAGCTGCTGTCAACTAGAGCGATCTGTTCCGCGAGTAACCGCTCTCTCACCACACATAGCTTAGTTTCAGAGCTGTTTATACAGATGTGAATTAATGGGTGGCGGCATTTTCTTTGTAATAAGGGTTTTATTAGTACTATTGCAGTTGGTGCTACGTGCTATTCAATTTGCATAGTTCAACTGTTTACGTTCTCAATCTCCCTCTCCTGTATGCCCCTCACCCTATGCTCTATCCAGAGCCTGTGACGTGGGCGTACTGACTGTCTGACTGACTGACTGACTGACTGACTGACTGACTAACTAACTAATTAACTAACTAACTAACTAACTAACTAACTAACTAACTAACTAACTAACTAACTAACTAACTAACTAACTAACTAACTAACTATGTAACTAACTAACTAACTAACTAACCAACTAAATGAATAAACAAATATAATAACTAACCAATTATTGAATAAATATTATTGTTGAAATAATTCTTCACCTAAGTAAATATTTTGTTTTTGACAATATGAGCTTGAATAAGGATTTCTTTGCCGCGAGAAACACGCTGACAAAACACGCTGAAGGAACGGCTGCTTTGCATTATTTTTTGTGACCGTGTTCCGTCGTGTTTCTTTCAGATTGAACGCATCAAAAGGCACATTGAAGGAGACTTCGAGGTGAAAGGCATGTGATGTTTATTTATACCAGCGGCTACTTTCACTAACACTTTTGTACAACCGAGAGTTAGATATGATGAATGGATGGCAGATACCAGTGTTTTAGTACATCAGAAACATTAAATGACGCACTCGAGATTATTTCGCGTAAACAGTTCTGTAACTTCTGTTACAGTTCTGTAATCTATTATTGCAGTTGTGAGTAGTATAGAGAACCAGGCGCGTTTTACCTTTCAAAACTTTCAAGGTACAGAATTAGAAATTGAGCACAAATACATGGTTTCTCACATTTTGATTAATAATTTTCAGCGCCGAATGTTTGCCTTTGGAGTCATGGTCAACTATATTTTCGTTCAATTGGAGCAACGAAAGCGTAGACAAATTTTTAAACTCTAATTCTGATAGGCAGTGAAATAATGGCATCCAAGGCGCTGTGTTTATCGCCAACGAATAAGCCACGAAGGATCATTTCCATATAACTTGAACGATGTTGTGTAGATGCAGCTTCTCATGGCGCGTCTGCTTACATGAAGAGACTATCAGAAATCTTTGAACTAATTAGTCCAAATACTTATTACTTCTTCATTAGCGCGCTGTATATTTACCCTTTAGAAAAAAATCACAGCATATCCATAGAGCAGATGATGATGAGTGGGGCGAAGCGTCCGTCATCCCGTCCGTGCTTCCGTCCGTCCGTTAGTTCTTCCTTCCGTACGTTCCCGCGACCATCCGTGTGTCCATCCATGCGTCCGTCCGTCTGTCCTTGCCTCCGCCCATGAGTCCGTCCATCAATCTGTCTGTCTGTCTGTCTGTCTGTCTGTCTGTCTGTCTGTCTGTCTGTCTGTCTGTCTGTCTGTCTGTCTGTCTGTCTGTCTGTCTGTCTGTCTGTCTGCCTGCCTGCCTGCCTGCCTGTCTCTCTGTCTGTCTGTCTGTCTGTCTGTCTGTCTGTCTGTCTGTCTGTCTGTCTGTCTGTCTGTTCGTGCGTCCATCCGTCCGTACGTTCACGCGTCTATACATCCATCTGTCCATCTGCGAGTCTGTCTGTCCACCCGTCCATGCGTTCACCTAGTGAACACTCCAAGCACCGCCATCTCCCATCTCGCATCCTGTGTGGCACATGCATACATACATACATACATACATACATACATACATACATACATACATACATACATACATACATACATACATACATACATACATACATACATACATACATACATACATACATACATACATACATACATACATACATACATACATACATACATACATACATACATACATACATACATACATACATACATACATACATACATACAAACAAGGAATGGACCGAGCCACACCTTTAGGAGCTTCACCCCTAAAAAACTATTCACACATCAACTTTTACACAGTTCTTTTTCCCCACCTCAGTCATCAGCTATAAATATGAACCTTTTCTTCTATGGCTAAAATAAATAGTTGACTTGGTCAAGGGGCAAGACATTCACCTTCGGGATGCTGTTGGGAAACGCGAGTGCTGTTCGCAAGCCTCTTGGACTGTTTTTTTTCTGGGCTGGGGTTATGTCTGCTACTCAGCGTTGATTACTGAACACCCTTTCAAAGTAGTGGAGGAGCATGGATGCTTAAACCTAGACCTCCGAAGCTGCACGCTCCCTTCCGCCCAGACAATGCCTGATGAGACCACCGAGAAAGGCTACGCAAAGGAAGATATGGCCCAACAGCCACTGGCCATCAGTTCTACCACTCAAAACTTCAACCAATTCAGAAAGGGGTTTTTTTAATCGATGTCTAGTGTCAGACCGAAAGCCAAGCTAGCAAAAACAGTTTAACATGCTCGGCAACACAGTTCACGAACAGCAAACGCGCTTCAAATCAAAAGAGCATTCCGCGGTAGTTGTCCTGGTCGTTTACCACTACATGGTGATTATCTTTTAGTTATGTATGCTACATGAATAGTAAATACTACCTAAGCATAGCCTATCCAAGAATAGCCGTCTTTAGAGAGGTTTAGGTTACCGTGTTGGCTAACTGTATAAAAAAAGTGGTGTCAACATAAAGCCACTGAATGTACAAAATTGCAATACAGTAACTTTGCGACACAGCACGGAGTTTCAGAGAAGGCTTACTACAAGATGTTCACTATAGGACCCGTAGTAGTTAAAATTTTCTACACGTAAGCATCTAAATTAGCATTTTCCTGGATTATGTTTTCCGCACGGTATTTTTTCTGTGCAGGAAGTCCGATGTCTCAGGGTGTTGTGGAAGGCAAAGCGCGCGTGGTGCTGTCATTTGAAGAAGCCCACCTCATACAGGTAACATGAAGAAAATATTGTTGTTGATAGAACATCGGTTATTGCGGTTTACTTGTGTAACATGACTATCCCAACACCACTCTGGTTGTAGAGAGTATGTGTAAATGTGTCATGCAATCGAAGTATTGTAATAAATACCCTGTATGGCAAGGTATCAAGTGCGCGGAATGAATAATGTCCGCAAGATGTTGCGACAAGCAAGGACGTGGAATGCAATCTTGACTGTTCTGAAAAACACTCTTCATTGTCGTAAGCATCATATAACAAACACAAATAAAGCAGCGCAAACATTGATACTTCAGTTTGTGTTAAGCTCAGGCACAGGTATGTTCGGCCAATATTTTTCTTTTATAGAACAAGCGCCCAATTAGAAATTACTATAACACATTAGAGTGACCACAATGAGAAACCAAAAAGATATTGAAGCAGTGCTCAAACAAATTAGAACCCAAGTTATGAAAACCAACATGTCGTTCCTATTGTTTCATATAACGCCATAGCTTCAGGCGAAACATTTTAGGTAGCACAGTCCTACGCACATATGTCTATATAATCTGTAGGAGAGCACGTGTTAGTTGAATGTAACGTAACTCAGCTTATTGGAGGATGTCGTATATTTTTATGTACGGCGGTTAGCTATCCTGCCACTATAAATATTACCGAATTCGCGCGACTCAGGCACGGCCATGCATAGTGAACCATTTGTGGCTTAGTAATGAATTTACTGCAGCTTCCACAGAGAGTGCACTTAGGACTCTGTGCGAAAGCTAGCAGTCATCTTTATTACATTGCTTTAGATTCAAAACTTTAATCGGTTGACAGAATATTCCGAAACGTTGCCTTTGAAAGCGCAGCGTTGAATATATTGGTGTTGGCAAGCGCTTTCTGTATACCACAAAAATGCACTGCTATTGTTCGCATATATTTACCAAGTAGGTTTAACAGCCGTCGGCTGTGTGCGGGTTTGCTATATTGCGTTAATACTGAGTAAAAAGAATCATTATCTTTCCTTTAAACAGAGAATTGTGATTGCAAACCCTCTGCTCTTGAGATTTAAGCAAATGTGAGAAACTATGCATACCCTATATTTCTCTCAAATTAAAGGAACAGTTATTTGTCCTTCACGGAACTACCAATGTTTTCATATGTGCAGAAGGGTGAGGTACTCATAACAAATGCCACTGACACTGGTTGGACGCCATACTTCCCGCTGTTGGCTGGAGTCGTAACAGAAATTGGAGGTCCGCTGTCCCATGGTAAGTTTTGAAATGATGCAAAGCACATGATCCTGGTATGGCATTCAAGCCATAGTCTTAAGTTATTTGTCAAGTTGGTTTAAGAGACAAACGTAGCTGACCGAGCTGCCCATGATGGCATCCGCAGTGTTGTCATTCAGCTATTAAGGTCTGACTCAGGAAAACTATTTTGTGCGATAGTACGTCATTTCTTTGAATTGGTGGAATTCCCCGAAAATACTCGCCTACATACCTTAGACCGTGACCTTCAATTGCACATCCCATACAGCCTAACACGACGTCTATCTACCTTTCTCGTCCATCTCTGACTTGGAGTGGTGTTCTCGAGTGCATATTCATTCACCATTGGGATAGCCCGTTGTGTGAACTCTACGGGTGCAGCGGAACAATAGCTCACCTCCCCTATGAGAACACCCATTTCAACACCCAGAGCCTTCTCAACCGAATCAGGTCAGCTAAGACAGCTGTGCTTCACAGAAGACAAAACTCTTGGGCACAAGCCTACCCGGTCTTCAGCAAAAATGGCTGAAAGCGTGGTCACAGTTTTTTTTTGAGAAAGCAGATTGAACGCAAATATATGGATGATCTCAGACAATGTTTTCCGAAAATGCCATAGCCAAGATTTCGGGGTGTCCTCACAGACTATCTTCTTTTTCATTTTCTTGCCGCACCTTTCTTTTTTGCAAAACCAGTGTTCCTGCTTGTTAACCTCGCTGTCTTTCATCTACCTTTCTCTCTGTGTTAATAGCTTCATGTTCTTTACGGACCCCGAGGAGTTTCTTGAGAAACTTTATTGACGAAGTTCCTTCAGCGGCATTGTTCAGCAAGTAACTAATATAAATTTGGGTAGGAAGAGACATGGGGAGTACCATGTTGCTGCGAGACTAGTAACCTTTGCACATGAGTAGTGGGCATAGCCTGAAACGGCTAAGATAACACGGTAACGCAGTGGTAAAACCGTCATACCCCAAAGATGTATACAGGCAACAGTTAATCGAGGCGCACTTTTCGTTGAAGACACTGTGAAACTCTGTTGCCATGCCCTTCGTTACCACTTGACTACAGACATCCAAGCAAAAGCTACGAGGACAGAGAGCAGCATTGCTTATCACATTTCTCACAGGTGCTGTCGTCGCTCGTGAGTACGGCCTCCCGTGCATCGTCGGGGTCGAAGGCATCACCATGATGCTTGCTACTGGTGCGTACCTTTGCATAGTAGGATTAGCCACTGCGTATTTCCTATGAGCATAAACAAGATTTTTAAGACGTTTCACCTTGTACTGCGCAGAGTACAGCGTTAATTACAGCAACCACTCAAACGGAAGCCATGGGACGCCACGTATTTTGCACTGGAAAGATGATATTTCAGGTTCATCAAAGCTAAAAAAATTCAATGATAACGCTAGCATCTATTTTTAACGAGGCTGCACAAATGTAGAAGGCAAACATTTAGAGTTGATATTGATGTCTTGAAAAAACGTGGTGAGGTAGTGTACATGCGATGGTGCATAGCGAATGGTATTGCAGCACGTTACTTTTTCAGCTTTGAGATATAACTTGTTGGAGATTAAAACGTGTGGTTCTGTGGCTCCTTGTCAACCCAGGTCGATCTTGCACCGCATCTACGGCATTCTTTGGATCTGGTTGGTGAAACCAGGTTGTAGATAGCTTGTCTTTAGCGTGGTGAATGAAAATCTCCCAAGCTGAATGCTTTTGACGGCAAGTGCGTGAGCTTTAAAAGCACTTCTGTCGGCCATATGTACTTCTATTTTAAATGAAGAAGGTGGAAAGAGACCAATTGTGAAATTTACGTGATGAAATATTTAGTAGCTGTGTTTCTTGATAGTGGAAGTTACCGCACGCTTACGGAATGGAAATGTACTAGAAAGGCAGCTTCGTTCCAGGACAGCTATTTGCACGGGACTTTACATCACTATGAAAAAAATGTGCAGCGATAGGTTTATACCGGACAAGGTTGCATCCACATGGTCTGCCGATCTAACATGTTTCAGCTGTTCAGTTTCGGTTGTGTGGGTGCAGTTTTTTCTATAACATTGGCATTATAATGCAGGGGTGGATCCGGCCACCCATTTTATGGAGAGGGGGGCGTTAACCTGCAAGTAACACTTGAGAAGGGGGCAGGGCTATGACTTCTTTTGCTTTTACTGTGAAAAAGGCCCCTTCATGGCATATACGCAGGTAATATGCCCTCACAGTGGTTTTATTCATTGGTAATACCGATTAATTGGACGTAAACTACAAATTCTACAGTTAAGGGAGGGGGGTTGCTGACACAGACTTTTGGGGGTAGGGTGATCACCCAACCGCTCCCCCTGAATCCGCCACTGTTATAATGAAGCGGAAATACGGAAGGATTTGGAAACAAGCCAGTGTTTTATTTATCAAAGTGATGCGAGATGATCCTATACTAGCCATTTCCGTACGTTTGTTACAATGAGAGGAACACATTATCAGCAAAGTATTCCAAGTTGCGTAGTGTACTAGTACCACAGGTCGGCGAAATTTGTGGATCTCACTCAGACTCACTCATGAAATATATTTTGAGCTTTGGACTCCCTTGGGCTCAGAATCACGAAAATTTTCCTGGGCCGGAATCACTTGGACTTACACTCACGAAAATTTTCATCAGCCGGACTCACTTGGACTGAAACTTGCCAAAAAATTGCTCACGCGGGCTCACTCGGACTCAGACTCACGGCTTGATCTGAGTCTGAGAGAGTCCGAGTGAGTCAACGCATGAGTCCATCAGCCTAAAATTAGCTTCCTTGACCGTGGTGTCAATGCTCCTAACACCAATATTTCACGTTATCAGTGCTTTTCGTCGTGCCGTTGGACATAGCATCGTTGAAAACTAGTTTTGATAGCTTCCAAACAATGTCATTTTTCTTGGAAGAGTGAACAGCATAAGACATAATAAAGAAATATTCTGAAAGAGTTCCTGAGTAGAGATATGGGTACCCCCCCCCCCCCCACTCAATTCACGCCCCTAATTATAAATATTCAAACGGTGTATCAACGACACTGGTTTGAATACATGTGAGTAATGGTAAGCCTCAGAGCAATGCTGAATACGATTACACAGGTCCTTAGGTTGGCCAGAGAAAGCGAATTTCACTCAGACTCACCCAAGAAATATGTTTTGCGTTTTGAACTCTCTCGGGCTCAAACTTATCAAAGTTTTCCTGAGCCAAACTCACTCGGACTCACACTCAAGAAAATTTTCTTCAACCAAATTCACCGAGACTCACACTCACCAAAGTTTTGCTAACCCTCACCCACTTAGACTTACGGCTAGATCTGAGTCTGAATGAGTCTAAGTGACTCTATTCATGTGTGAATTCACCGACCTATGGGTCCTATACATGGGTGTTGATGTTTTTAGAGCGTTTCATTTTGATAAATTAACTTTATTTGTTAGACAGGGCTAGGTGTTGTGCTTTCATTGTGTATTAGGTTGTTCTCGCACTGGTATTTGTAGTTAGGTAGCGTAATGCCATGGCGATGAGAAAAAAAGCAAAGCCTTGAGCACTAACAAAAATAACAAAGAAATGTCAATGCCAGTCACTATAGTATACACGTGTACTTCATACTGATCTACATAATTAGCTAGCGTTCATTAATATTTCTTGTTCTTTGAAGGTGACTATGTACAGCTGGATGGCAACAAAGGCTTACTGAGAAAAATTGCGGCTCCTGCTGCAGAAGACTGACAAGACCTTTTTCCTCCAAGAAATAGAACTGCAGTAATAAATCACGTGGGATCAAATAAAAAATGGGTATGTAACAGTGTAGTTCAAATTATGCCATTAAAAATTTCTCAAGCCTAAGTCAGTGGGCCATGCGGATGATGTCAACAAGAAACTCAAGCACTAAAGAACCCAAACCCAAGCTGTTTCGTAGGGTAACAACTCAGAAAATTGGATGAACTGGGACTTCTCATGAGAAATCACTTCAGCGCCGTATGAAAGGTCGGTAGGTGATTTCGGGCAAACTCTGTGTTCACTTTCTCTTCTTCTGCCTCTCACTTTTTTTCCGTTTTCGGTGTTTTAGTGGCTTTTTTCGACTTAGGGTATGTTCCAACTTTCCCCAACAAGCAATACATTTGAACGGGCAAGTCGTCGTCACCGACAACGAAAGTTGCATTTAGCAATGACGGCATATTTAGAAAAAAATGTTTAATGATGTGAAGTACGATGTATTCTTCTATAGGAGAGCATTAAACTGTCTCATAACAGCAGGCCTGGTACTATCGTAATTATCTTTGATTTGACCACGTAGGCCTCATTATTGGCGGTTGGAGGCAGACTGACTCATAGTAGCCATAGTGTAGGCACAAGATGAGGATGAGTGAATGTTACAGTCATGGCAAAAGATGGGTATCACCCGGAATCAAAGCAGCAGGAAAGAAAATTTGAAAGGGCTCTACTGGTTCTTTAAATAAATGTTGCTGAAAATATTTATAAATAAGGAAAGTGCGATGTTTTCTCGCTGCGTTAATACGGTGGCCTACATCCTAAAATGGCTAGAAATAATATTTTGAATAATAATTAGTATGAAATCAACAGCTTTTCGAATACATGGTGCAGATGGTCTTGTCAAATCGGAAGGTCGAAATCCTTGATTCCGGCGAAGGACGCATTGCGGCTGTAATATTTTCGCAGTGGAGTATTTTAATGCAACCGGATTTGACGGTGAAAGCAAAATTAAAGTGTCGGTGAGGTCAACCGGCAGACAACGAGAATCCCGTTATCAACGAGTTTAAGAACAGCGTACGCTGAGTTAGCGTACGTTGAGGGCACCAGCTATTTCTTTGTGTGCGCTATTCTAATACTTCCTAGTGTTTTTGACAATAATGACAGTGTTGTTAGTTCTGCTGCATTAGTTCGCCTACATGCTCCATCATTTCTATAATCGAAAGCGAGAGACGCAAACCGGCGAAACGAAGTAGGTCTACTGTAGATACAATGGTGCTCGCTCATTCTAGTTCACGTGTTGAAGCACTCATATCATAGGGAGTTGCCACCGCTCTAGCATCTTTATCATGGTGCGTTTCCGATGGCCTAAGCACCCTCATTACTGACATAACGAAAACGCGAAAAAAATATCTCTTACACTCGGCGACAAGTTTCTGTGGCAGCACGGCCAAAGCTACGTAAGCGGAACTTATGCACACGTGTTACGGCGCATTAGTTGTCCGGCCACTTCCGCCGGGCGTTTTGGTTTCGGTTTCAGCAGTGCATTTCGCGTCACTACGTCTTCGCAATGGGAACTTTCCTTACATATCAGCATGCGATTAACTATCACCCGTGTGCAAGCATCGTAGTGATATGCATTCTTTTATCTAATTTGAAAAGGTTGTACAAGTGTCCACTCATAAAAGTTATAGAGTTGGTAAGCGCTGAAAAAGTTTGCCCACATTATGTTTATACAATTCGTGAGAGGGGTGTAATCACTTAGGCACTAACATTTAAGGATTTCGCATTGAATAAGGCATTGTTCAAAGGACTTCTTGTTCAAAATACACGGGCTGTGTAGCAAGGAGGTGCAATTACGTGTAATGCTATTTTTTCAAATTTAGGGTCATCAGTAAAAGGACTTTATTCGTTGTGAATGCTAGCACATTAAAAATTTTGGAAAACAAAACCACGCGCTAGATACGCGCCAGGACACATCACAATTTACGTTCAGTGAGTGTACAACTGTCTGCTGCGTTTACATTCACGCAACGTATTCCATTGCATTGTTGTAGTTGTTACTGTCATCACTCTCACTGCCGGAATTTGACCCGAATGGAACTATAAGCTGTTCGAGGTTTTCGTCGATGAGGCGCTCACTTTGCTAAAGGTACCCTTTGATCTTTTTAACATGAGCGCACGTCCGGATTCATTCGTCTAACGTTACAAGATCGATGCTATTATACACCAATTTTTCAACGCCATCAAGGGTCAATGTTGCGCTATTCGCAGCGACGTACCTTTCGCCTGGCTCCATATCAATTCAATAAGACTCAATTCGCCCTGATACGGAAGAAGTCGTGCCCGGCAGCCTTCACCAAAACATCCACATAATTGGCAGAAAACATCTCTTTGTGGTCATTTATCAAATTCAAAGGCTCTGCTTTTCATTAGTCTGGGAACAACACGATAATCTTCTTCGTCGGCCAAGGTGATTTCATGTTGACGACGTTGGTGATTTCTCGAAGCAAACGCTCCCAAATGGCGCCTTATTCATGACTGCGTGGTATGATCTGGACAGCAACTGTTCACTCAACCACTTATCAAAGCGCAGGTGTCCGTTTCTGTGTGGTGATCACCAGTTCGTTTCGCAGCCCTGAACACAAAGCACGCATCATGCAAGAACACGTCCTTGCTAAACAACAAAATTCGGGTATGTTATCAATCCCCGACACCGCATTTCCGCAATATAGGACAATCAATGAAAAAAAAAAGCCGCCTGGATCTTTCCATGGGGTGAATCGAGTAAATGCTTCATAGGATGGTAGGATTATCACGTGAATGTTGTGTAATAAGGCATATTTTTGGAAGGCCTAATTGTTATTTTGTCCGTATTATTCTGATATAATGAATGGAGCAGGAGCGTTGCCTTGAATGAGTGGAGAGACACTAATGGTTGTTTGTACGTCACTACTAATTGAAGGTACTGTTGCTTTTATCGCATCTACTCGAGTCATGAAAAGCGTGAATTCAAATGAAGGCCAAGTAAAGATACCCTTGACTGAATTGCGAACGTGCGATGCAGTGCCTGCATATACGGGTTGACCACTGAACGATCGTGTAGTGCGAGTAGTCAGTTTTTCACTAATGTTGAATTCCAATGGCAGACCCAGATCTAGTTTTTCTGCTCTAAGCGGAGCAATCACATTCCAACGGCAGATCGAGAGCGTGAATTGTGTGTTCCAATGGTAAATAGAGAGCAACCGGAGATCGCAGATTGCTCCGTGGAGCGAGAATTCTCGCTTTGCCAAAATCAGTGGATTACACCGGAAGTTCAAGTGACGTATTCTGTGTGTCCGTTTTCATCCAATCACCTACGGATCTCCGGAAAACGCTTCGCACTCCCTCGCACCCTCTCGTGCTCCCTCGCTGGATTTCCGCTCACCAACAGCTCCCGTAGAGAGGCGCGCGTTTCAATCGCAGATTTGGCGAGATCAATCACGCTCGGATCAGCGCGCTTCATTCGCAATCCGGCCTAGCGCTCGCAATCTGCCATAGGAATTCAACACATCAGACGCTGCCTGCGTCAGCCTTGCGAGGCGAGAGAGTGAGAAGGGCACAAGACAGTGTGCGGCACGAGACGGGAGACGCGAGCATGTGAAGTGAGGGTGTGGGCGGCGCCACCAACGCTAGATTCTCGACCTCTCCGCATTTAAAATATTCACTGCTGAGCTGATCTAAGAATGCCGTAGCAGAAAAGGCAAAAAACACGTGAATGCATCTGAGAGACTTCAGCGAACGAGCGGAGTTACGCATCACACAATGCGTAACGCAAGGTACCGCAAAATGCGAGCCGCATCTTACACCACACAAGCTGCAGCAAAACGCAAGTCCTGTCTTTAGCAGTTCGATAGAAAATTTTTACCACCTTCGGTTGCTGGGTGAATAGAAAAATTACTTATTTAATATTTTCAACAAAAAGTTCCACACAGAACAGCTCCATAAGAACCGTTTTTGATCGCGAAGTTGTCGGAAGGCACGCTGGTACTGCCGCCACAAGACGATGTTGTTTCTCTACAACATATCAAAGGCAAAAGCCGACGTCATAAAGCAGCGTCTGCATCGTCCGAACACTCATTTTAAGGACGTTCATGCCCCGGTCACTAACCGTATCTTGAACGAGTTTTTTCACAGCAGCTCCTAATTGTAGTATACGTATGCTAATTCTGTCTGGGATCCCCTTGAAAGGTTCTAAACGATCAATTGAAGCAATAAAAAACCACGTCGCTTGATTCTCATGATTGGTACATTATTATCGTATATACATAAAAAAGAAAACGGGTCTGCCTAGTCTTCAGATGCTTATCGTAACGGTTCTCATATCAACTGAGGTCTCATCGCATTTTTAAACGCTTCAAACATGCTAGAACTCTTTACGATCCCCATGACCGTCCTACCACGCACCTACACTACTTTTTAACCAAGACCGCCATCGACTGCAACAGTCTTCCCAGAGGCATCGTCCTTGACGTCACTCATACTCAAGAACCCCGTTGAGTCATACTTTCTAAAACTTAACTAGTTTGTTTCTCCCACTCCTCATGCAAAACTTTCTGTGTAGGATATTTGAGGTATTTTGAAAATTAAATAAATAAATAAATAAATAAACAAACAAACAAATGAATAAATAAATTATTAATACAAGGGTTTCATAAATTTTCGACCGTTTTGTGCTCTTTCACGTGCACTAACACAGTACAGTGCAGGGGTCGCTATCCTTTCGCGTCCATCAAAATGCGACCGCCGCAGACGGGACCGAACCAGCGACCTTCCGGTGAGCAGCCGTTCACCGTGACCGCTAAAACACCGTGGTGGTCTATTATCAGACGCTATTCTGAGTTCGTATTCCATACGCTACTCAAGTAGTATTTTTTTCACCTCCATTGTTCAGTGACTTATCTCTGACACACAAGGTCTATTTAAATCAGTCGCGAAAGTTCGGGACAAAAGTGATTCAGAAGCTGTTGCCAGTGACATTAGCCTGGGGAGTTATGGGAGCGGCGATTGAAGCGCGACTATGTGTGAAGGAAATAAACACTAATTTATTTATTTATTTATGTATTT